TTTCTCCGAGCATGCTAACTTCTTGGAAAAGTTCTGCAATTTTCTCTGCCTTGTGATCATCATGCGTACAATTTCGCTTCAATAGAGACTGGTTCGTTTATTGCCTTTCATGTGTTTTTTGATGTCACTATAGTTGGTGGATTCCCTGGACTCAATTATTCACCTTTCTAGATGAGAACTGCATGTGCACATACATATATACCTTATACAGTTTCTTATCTAAGTGTTTATAATTGGACCGATTTGTTTGCGATACTGTGTAGCTCCACAGGCGACTCTGATGACAGATCTTCTCTTGAGACGAAAAGAAACCTTCAAACGTACACTTGTTTTCATAGTTACTAAAAAAATATTCACTGCTCCTGCTGATATAGCATGAAAAGTTCATAAGATACTGTGCAGCTTCCAATGGCCTCGCAGTTAGCATTACTAAAAGCTTTCACGCGTGTGAAGTCTCAGTCACGGTGTTAGGGTCAAAGCAGTGGATGCGTAGTCGCTATTGCCAATGGGTGTCAGTTCTCCTACGAAATGACTCTGAAAGAAATGTTGGGGTTCTCAGAAAGCCGTAGACTGGCTGAACGCTGGAAGCAGTAGAACAGCGCACTGCCAAAGTTTGGTTGAATCGGCCTTTCAAAACGACTCATGGGATGGAAATACACTGCGTTTCATAATTATAGGTCCACCCTAAATTTTTGCTACCCCAAAGTTGCTGTGCATTTTTTGGAAAATGCTGCTATCACCATTAGATTCCTCATCACGGAAAACCTTCATAGTGTTTTTCTGACAAATTTCCCCCCTCAAGTAACCCAATTAACTTTTTTAGAACGAATTTTCACCGTTTCATGAATATCGGGCCACTCATAAAAAGTTTCCATTTCTCACGATCCGTGAAGGGAATCAGGGAAGCGGGGAAATATGTGGGCTCAGTCGACATCGAGTTTACCATACCTCGTGTTATTCGCCTCTCTTCCCAGTAACAAGCTCAAGCTAGAGCACTTACTGAAGTGGGATAGCTGAGGAGCAGAATTTCCTCCCATGTCGGCCGGCTCATACTGCATAAGCAACTATGTGCAAAAATCCT